CATCTGCTGGCGAGAGCGGCCGGCAAGCAGGACCCGGCGAGTCTGGAGCCCTAGCCTCACCCAGAAACCCGTGGGAAGGCGGTACTTTTGTCCGGTCCGCAAGCGGAAGCTTTCCTCCTCCTAGAGCTGCTTTTTCTTTCTTTTTTCCCCTTCTTTTTACCCTGGTGCTGGGGCTAGACTTGCGCGTCCCTTATCACTGGGGAATGACAGGGACTGTGAGGGCTATCACACCAACCCGCGTCAGTCATCATTCAGGACCTGCAAAAATAGAAGCAGATAATGGATGACTAACACATTACAGCATTTGTCCTCGGCAAATCCCAGTTGAGGTTCTTTAATACATTCGCAGTTTCACAAGCTTGAGCCCAAGCCTGGGGAAAATGCTGGTCAGTGGATCTCCCTCCCCCGCAACAGCCCCCAAGATTTCACAAAGCCCCAGTGGTCTGTGTTTTGCTCTTTCTTCCTACCTCACACCCACTCTCTCCCTTTTCCTCCCGACTTTGCCCCCCTTTTCCCTCTCCTCCATCCCACTCTCGGTATTTCTTCTGACTTACTATATCATTCCCTTCTATCATCAAAAATGCACTTAATTCTCTGCTGAATATAAACAAACTTATTTACGCAAATGACGGGCTAAGGGCAAAAGAAAGGGGGCGCTAAGAGAAGCAGAGACAAAGCACTCGGATACATAGAGAAAGATGTTGAGCACAAAGGCATGTTTATGTTTATGTACCACAGAGCTACAGATCTGAGGAAGAATACCCCCTGCCATGAATGGCACCACAGAAGCAATCGCTGAAGTTCCCAGGATTATTTCAAAGACAACCAAAAGTCTACAGTTAACACGATATATGAAATACAAATGCCTACTGAATAATTCTGCATCTAATATACAAAGTAATAATTACTTATAACGTATGCCTCCCAAAACGTATTCTTTCCTGAATAAAGTTTGGAAATTTACAATGTAATGCATGTAGAAACAACAGGGAGAATCTCAGCTGGCCTCCAAATGAATTTATCTACGAAGGGTATGGTCAAGAACTTGGCATTAATATAAAAAGAGGCCGTGCAGAAATGGTGCAGCATCTCAACATTTTATGAAGAGACTCAACTAGGCTAAAATCTAAAATATGCATGTTTTGATATTACTGTTGTCCTGAACATATTTCAGACTATGTGTCAAGTTTGTAGATTGTGGTGAGAAAGCACTGTTTTCAAATCTATCATTCACAACATAAAAATACCATAAAGATTTCTTAAAGTTTAATTTTAATCACTGATTATAGTTTGGGAAACCTCAAATCCAATGGCCAGATGAATAACACAGTAAACATCAGTAAGATCATATAGAAGTGCTCCACAATAATACATTAGCCTCTAAACTCTCCTCAGGAAATCACAAGATAGTAAAGCTAATCTAAAAAACAAACAAAAAAAAACCCCAAACTAAAACAAAAAAGCACAAACTAAAGTTAAACGTGAAGACTTCATGGTCAAAGCTTTCTAGATAAAACATGACAGAATATCCAACCAACCCAAAGATGCTTGGGACCCAGCAGCACCCAAGGACCACTGCTAATTTACATAAGCAATGATATTTTTAAAAGACTGATGATATTTGTTTGAACTTTCTCTCTGGCTTGCTATTGGAACTTTCAGGAAAAAAAAAAAAAAAGAAAGAAAAGAAAAAGAAAAAGGAAAAACAAAACACTTCAGCTTTGTCCCAGACCCTGGGTAAAGGAAAGGACTCCTTAAAGGGGAATAGAAACAACTGGCCTGAAGGCTATGCCAGCAACAAAGTAAAATCTTGTCTGATGAAAATACTTAACATTCCTTGAAGTTCTTGTTTTTTAAGTATATGTGGAGAAAGGGTAATACTTTATTATTTCATGCAGAACAAGATTCAAGGACAGCCTTTCCAGTTGGCAGGGAAATTTGGTATTATACAAACACTTGAAAACAAATTTAGTATTGAAATTCTTTAACAGGAACGCATCTTAAGTACTAGCCTTTGAAAAAAAAATTCCACTTATCTCTGATTGATTTTATTACCTTTGATGTGCCAAAGCACCTACTAAAAGAAAAGGGAACTGAAGTTGTGGGTGGAAGCAAAGCTGATATTTGCAGCCATGAACTGAACACAAGGTCTTATAGGAATGAAAGCCAATTAGGCTTCCTGGTACTTGAGGCCTGTAAACAAAACACAAATCATCAGATGAAAAAAATCATGTCTAACCATTTCATTTGTTATTTTGTAATTCCTGATCATTTTTAAATATATAATATTCAAAACAATTTAGTAGTCTTCTGATTAGGATTTTAAAAATTCAAATATATTTCTTTGAAATAATTTATTCCCTCGTTAAAACACATACGTAATTCCATATTCTGTATGAAGTATCGTAATATGTTGGGGTTTTATAAAATGAATAAAACTAAAAGAGAATATAGCCTATTATGGGAGATGAGGACTTGACACAATTAATATAAGGTATGTTTACAATGTTATAAAAAGAGTACTGTAAAAAGGATTCAGGGAATTTTGAGGTAGGACAGCTCATTTCAACCTTCAAGAGGAGGGTAAGAAAGAACAGAAAGGTAAAGCAGTCTTCAGTGGAAGAGGTGACTACTGAGGGGAGCGTGGAGGGTGGTTGGGTTTCCGCTGTAGGAGATGGACATGGGCACTCCTGGTGCAGAAAAGGACAGGGCACAGGAGTCCAGGTGGGAGCAGAGGATGTGTTTAAAAAATAAGTAATGCAATATAGGTTCTGCCTCCTAGACTCCAGCTGTAGATCCAGATTTACTATTTTATTTGTAATACAAAGCAAATATTCTGTTTACAGACGCATAAATTCTTAGTAAGAACAATTTACAGTTTATACCTGTACGGATATTAACTCCAGGAGCAGTACTATTACATAGTGCAGTCAAGCCTGGTAGAGAGGACCATAAGCTAATTTGGCTTTTACAAAGTAAGCAGTCCATTTCTTTCCATTTTCATTTGGAAAAAAAAAAAAAGAAAAGAAACCCCAAAAGAGTTGAATTTTGTAACTGGTCTAAGAATCAAATAAATATATTGAACATTCATTCACTGATTTATTTATTCAACAAGAGAAAACCAGGATAGCATAGTGGCTTAGAGCTTGTAAACCAAAGAAAAACGATACCTGGCCTCCTGGCTCCACCACTGACTGGCCTTGTGAAACCACTGAGTGCCCAGCCTCTCTTTGATTCAGTTTCCTCATCTGCAGAGTGGAAATAATCCTACAGCTTATCTCACAGGGTCGTTACAAGGAATAAATTAATTCATAGTCTTAGAAGAGTTTCAGACATATAATAAATATATGCTGTTACTATTGTTGCAACACATATTTATTGAGTACCTCAGACTATCTTAATGCTGGGGATGGTAACAATTGAAACAGATAAAGTTCCCACTCCTTCCAGTGGGGGAAAAACAAATGAAAGTAACTACCAAATATAAATTTCATTTTATTTTAAGGAGGTTCTATGTGGTTTCCTACAATGACTTATGATTAAACTGATTAAAGGGTACATATCCATTCACATAGCAATTTGATTCCAGGGATTTATTCTTGGGCAAAAATTGAACTAGAGTATAAACATGTTGATAAGGATATTTACTAACACTGTTTATAATAACAAAGAACTGGGTGTTTATAATAGCAAAGAACTGGAATCCATTTAAATGCCCGGCAATGAAAGACTGGTAAAAGAAATTATTTTTTGATACAAAACTTGAATACTATACATCCCTTTAAAAACGTATTTTTAAAACTGTTCTATATTTTTCCTTTTTGCACACTTTTAAAAAATGTTTCAACCATCTCAAACTTACAGAAATGTTGCAAGTGAAGAACTTTTTTCTTTAATTATCTGAGAATGAACTGCTGGCCTGATGATGCCTCATCACTTCTGAATACTTTAGTGTGTATTTTCTAAAGTACATCCCACTAAATAACCACAATACAGCCACCATAATAAAAATATGCAGATTCACACATTACTATCTTCTAATCATCAGTCTCCAAACTTTGCCAACTGTCCCTATAATGTCCCTTATATCAAAAGAACCCAGGATCAAGCATTGCATGTAAAATCCTCATGTCTCCAGTCTCCTTCATTGCAGGACAGTTTCTCAGTCTGTCTTTAACTTGTATGACCTTGATTCTATTGAAGACTTCAGGCCAACGTTTGTTCAGAATGCCTCTTGACTAGTGTTTGTTTTCTGTTTCATCAGGACTAGATTCAGGCTGTACAGCCCTGGCAGGAATATCTCACGACATCTGTATCAGTGTCCAAACCTGTATATTAAGTTATTCCAAAACTTAGTAGCTGAAAACCATAAACATTATTTGGCATGCTCTATGTGCAAAATGGTGGTTCTCTAATGAGGGTGGTTCTCTAATGAGGGTGCAATGAAGATGTTGGCAGGACTATAATCATCTGAAGGTTTGACGGGGCTAGAGGATTTGCTTGCAAGGTGACTCACTCACATGGCAAGTGAGTGGCAGTGAGCGGCAGAAACAACACCTCCTCACTATGTGGCCTTCTCTCTAGGACAGCTTGCGTGTCCTGAAAATATGGCAGCTGGCTCCCCCAAGAGTGAGCAATGTTTCCTAGGACCTAACATCAGAAGTCACATAGTTTCTGTGATATCCTATTGGTTACCCAGGTCAAGGCCACTCAGTGTGGACCGAGATTAGCCCAAGGGCATGAATACTAGGATACCAGGATCATCTTCTTGGAAGCTGGCTACCATAGCATCGTATTAGCTGGTACAACTTTGATTTTATCTCATTACTAATGACATCATTTTGATCATTTGATTAAGGTGGTATATTCTGACATTTCCACTATAAAGTCATCATTTTTCCCTTTGTAATTAACATCTTTAGGGGGAGAGGTTACTTTTGACATTATAAATACTGTTTCTCATCAAACTTTTATTCATTTATTTATTATATCCTAATGGACTCATGTATTTTATTTTATTCCAAGGGTTTTGATCTGTTACTAACTTTATTTACATTCCTTACATTGATACTCCAATTGTCTCAGTTGTGGTTCTTTTTAGCTAGCTTTGGTTCCTTTTCACATGTCTCATCATCCTTTGAGCACTTGCTTGCTTTTTGCTCCCTCTCTCATCTGGCCTCAAAACCCTGCCCTAGGGTTTCCTCTCCAACTTGGCCTTTGCTGACAACCTACCCTGGGCTGCTGACACACATAGATACGCTCTTTATTCTATTTGGACTGTGACACCCTCTTCCAGGGCACCAGCCCCACCACATTGATGCCCTCCTTACCCGAGGTGGACTCCGTACCCCAGGCCAGGTCACTGCTTAAAGCCCTACCTTGCTCCACCTAACAGCTTTAGAACTAAATTGTTAGAAACAGAAAAGAAAGACATTATTTTTTTAAAAGTGAAATTATAAAACAGTATACACATGTATTTAAAAATCGAAAGTAATATAACCTAATTGTATTTCCAATGGTTTCCTATGGGGACAACTGGGGAAAAGGGAGGACTTTTACTTCCTGTCTATACCAGAGATCCGGTGCATGGATTCATGCACATTGAAAGGAAACTAATTAGAAGGTGGCCACCAGGGCAGGACTGGACAAGATGGGCCGGACACACATTGGAGCCAACCTCCCAAGGTCCCTCCCTGGACGGCTGCACCTGGGGCAGCGCCAGGGCTCAAACGGTATCTGCAGAGTGAATGGGGTCCCTCTGGCAGGTGGTGTCCCTTGCTGGCCTGTGGGGATCGGGCTGAAACCGGCAGTCCGACATCCCCCAAGGGGTCCCGGAGTGCTAGAGGGCACTCTACAAAGTTTCTGTCGCTCAGCAGCTCCTGCGTTGAACATCTGCCCCCTGGTGGTCAGTGCGCATCATACCACTGGCCAGTTGGCTGGTCGCTTAGCCTTTTATATATATAGATGCTTTAGCAGTCTTTTAACTTTCAGAAGCTTATATTATTTTTGTAACCAGAAGAAAATGGGATTTTACACATATATACATATATGTGTACATTTAAAAATATTTTATCAAATGTGACTCTACAGATTTCAATTTACATGTAATGGCTTGTGATGTTTTGAAAAAATAAATAATTCTTCTTTTTTTGCTTGGCAAGAACTTTAAAAACTAAATTGTATGGTGCTTGTGTAGCTGTAATGCAAGGTTTTTAAGCTCAGCACTAGAAATATTTTGACTGCATAATTCTTTGCTATATGGGACTGTCCTGTGTATTATAGACTGTTTAGCAGATCTCTGAACTCTACCCACTAGCTTCCAGTTGCACTCCCTTTAGCTGTGACAACCAAAAATGTCTCGACCATACTTTGCCAAATGTCTTCTGGAAGGTAAAATCACCTTGGTTGAGTGCCATTGTCGTAATATTGTTCAAAAAGATGAAGCTTAATTTGTAAGTCAAATGTGATGTAATTCCCTTCAAATACATGTAATGAGACATAAATCTCCTAAAATAGTTTGCAAATATGGAACTTCTAAAGAATGAGGGGAAATCATTACAGCAAGTAATATGTATTGATTATATGCCAGGCATTGACTTTGTGCACATTATCTCACCGAGTTCTTATGACTTTTTTTAAATGTTCACCTGAGGATATATTTTTATTGATTCTAGAGAGAGAGGAAGGGAGACAGAGAGAGAGAGAGAGAGAGAGAGAGAGAGAGAGAGAGAGAGAAACATCGATGTGAAAGAGAAACATTAATCAGTTGCCTCTCATACATGTCCCAACCACAGATCAAACCCACAACCTAGGTATGTATGTGCCTTGGCCAGCAATCGAACCTGCAACCTGTTTGATATATAGGATGACGCACCAATCAAATGAGCCACCTGGCCAGGGTAGGTTCTTTTGACTTTATTTTCCCATTTTACAGAGGAAGGGTTTAAGGTTTAGAAAAATTAGGTAATTTTCTTTGGTTACAATGCAGTAGAGCAAGGATTCAAATACTGGCTTGCAGACTCCAGAAGCTATCTTTTCAACTCAGATTCTTCAACACAGAACAGGCTCAGTACATTGACAATGGGTATTTTTATCAAGTACAATAAAAGGCAAATCCCCTGAATATGATCATATTGTAAAATAATAATTGTCAATATTTATTAAGCAATTACGACCAAGCACTGTATATGGATATTAGCTCATCTGAATCCTGAAAAAACTGTATGACATTTGTACCATTATCATTCCCATTTTACTGAAGAGGAAACTGGACACAAAGGGACTTGGTAACTTGCCTAGGGTAGATAGCCAGGATATAAATACAGGCAATCTGACGTCTAATAATTAATAGTTAAACCCCTTCACTATTTAGCTATAAGTAACCGTCTTTTTTTTTCCATTCACATATTAGGAAGCATGAACATTTCTTCTACAACCTTATCAACATTACTCATTTAGATAACTCAAAAAGAACAAATTGAAGATCTATGACTAGGGTCTAAATCTAATAAAAAACAAGGTCTAGTTTGGCTTGTAAGAATTGTCCCCAACTACTCCCATGATTTTGAATTCTGAGTAAACATTTCAAAATGAAGATTTCACAAAAAACCAAGATTTCCAGTGTCTCTTGAAGAGTTGTGAAATCTGGCATCACCAGACCTCCATTTGCATATGGCAACCATTAGCTGAGCAAATGTCCTCCTCCTTAGACAGGGCCAGCCGTCGGCGGAGCACCACATCCCCACCTCTCCCTATTCGAACCCAGATCCTGAAGCCCAGAGCAGTTATCTGAACTGCCACTCAGCACTGAGGCACAGTTGTCAGTCTGTTCATTTGTTTTTGTTTATATAGGTGGCCATCTTTTCTCATTAGCATTATTAGCTGTAGCCTAAAATCATCTGTGTTGTGATTCCAGAGTTAAAGCCTTCTTTATGTGAGAAGGTCAACCTCACCATGTATATAGCACAGAGTTGGCCACACTTAGATACACTAAGTTGTTGCTTCTTTTCTTTTAAGGCTCTGTTCGTCTTCATTAGCAAGGCACACCAAATGGAATGGCAGCTACTGCACGTGGATTTGTTTAGACAGCAATTTTTGACCTTTTTCATCTCATGGCGCACATAAACTAATTACTAAAATTCAGTGGCACATCAAAAAAATACATTTTTTGCCGGTCAGACAAAAAAAAATTAGGTATAATTTTTATTCATTCACACGGGACAGTTATTGTTATGTTGGCTGTTCCCATTTGTTTATGTGACAATCTAAGGGAAAGAGATCAGTGCCCCTGACTAAATAGTCAGGTATTGCATTATTTAAAAAATTCTTTGATCACACGGTTGAAAATCACTGGTTTAGACTCATCCCTTTTAACATGCAGCCAATTTGAAGTGTCCTTCCCTTGCAAGTCAAATTGGTTGGGTGTCTATTAGAATATATATGTTAAAAAAAATCTCAGTCGTAACATTCAGCATATGATTCTATTGAAAAAAAAAAAAAGCAACACACCAACTTGCCAACAGTAACAAATTTTATTTACTTATTTTTGTCTCCATGGTCAGTAAGTAGCAGATGCCCTTTAAATATGTCCATTAGTCATCAAATCACTGAGTCCTGTAAATACTTCCATGGGGGGAAAAACAAGAGACATTATTCTTAATTAAATTTCTCAACTTGGGCTAATACAAATGTTACTTCATAACACATGTATCTAAATTCAGTGCTGGCATATGTTAATGTAAGATAGAACAGATCCCTGTGTTCCAATCAGCACAAATCTTTAGTTCTAAGGACTGCACTGGGAAGTTCTCAGGAGACTGGTGCACTGCCCAGGAAATCATTAACCATTACTGATGACATGGGAGAGGGAGAACGGCTCCTTTGTATGCTGCTCATTTGCCCACCGGGTATCTTATTTATTTATAAGCTAAGAACGTCACATAGACTTTAGTTTCAGAGGAAGAGCACAAAGTACTTCTGTAGTTATCACTGCTCCTTTAAGGGGGAGGGGGGAGACAGGCCATCAGCCTTGTCCTGCAGCAATTTAGCAAAGTGTAAGTCCCCAGTGATTTCTGCCCCAACTCATGGATGAGTCAGTGGTAAGGGCCTAAACTTATAGGCTATCACCACAACATGCCACTGCAAAAATTAAGAAGCTCTTGCTCCTCCTCTTCAGTGAAGTTTTTGAGAAACTAGTTTGAAACTAATACCCAAGACCTGACTAAGTTTCAAATGTCTAGGTTGTTGGTTCAATGAAGTCTGAATCGTGGAGTGACCCACTGATTTAGGTACTGAAAGACCTTTTGCGTTACCTTTGTAGTGCTTCCTCTGTGGGTCTTTGCATTATTATGTTCTTCTATTTTTAAGAGGAAGTTAGTGTAGAACTAGGGAGGGTGGGAGAGTACTGCATTTAAGTGTAACTTAGTGCCAGGCACTGGGCTTCGATGGATGAAGTCTGAAGGTGGGGGTCTGCCTTTCCTTCTGCCTTTCTTGCAGTTAATCAACACATTTTTAATGAGCTGGTCTCTTTTGCAGGAGTTTTTTCCTGTTTATGATTCCACATCCTTGGGCATAGTTATTCCTGAAGCATTTTAATTCATACTTTATTAAATGCCTCTTGGTGACTTCAGAGGCAGGAGCTGTGAACTACACAGGAAACCTGGTTCAGATCCAGAACATGCAATTACAAAATATGTATTCTTTTTCTTGATAAGTAGAAACCCTACAGGAAATGTCTACATTTTCACTCAAAAATAACACTGAACTTGTTTTTTTTTCCCTTGTGCTACTCACACAGAACTATTTCCTCCCATAGAAGGATCATATTTTCAAGTGATATTTACTAATATGTTTCCCATTTCAAAATTCAAATCCTTACAACTATATAATGCCCATAAACATACCCCTTTCTATTGTAAAAGTTTTGCTATCCTTTCAAGTCTCTTAGCTGTATAATTATAGTACTTAAAGTGAAATCTACAATAATATAATACTATCATATAATTGAAAAACTTATGGGAATTTTTCCTTAAGATTATGAAAAAACTGTCAAAACATTCTCTTATTTATATAATTCTGCTCAATTGAGTTTACAGAAACATAGAGGGATCCTATGAAATATACACTACACATTGCCCCCTCATTCCATCTCAACTATATAATGTCAAAGCCATTAACAAAGCAACACAGTTGCATGAAAACACTTTAATGTCGTTTATTTTAGGGTACAGAAGCTACAATAAAATTTAACTTAATTATAAAAAGACAATTGAATGTTTAAGTATGTAATTCTCGATTGAAAGCACAATGTGCTAAAGTAGTTTATATTCAGATATTTTAATTTCTAGTCTATAGTAATAAGAGTTTTCTTTGATTGGTGTCCCCAAACTCCCCATGAACTGTCAATGAAGAGCTTCATAATTTTCCTCTGGCTGAAGAAGATCAAAGCATTCTTATGTTTGCTGAAGTCTTTGATACTGGTGCACAAACAGGTGGTGAGTTTATTTCATTGCTACTAAACTGTTTCTTGCTGCCAGAGTTTAGGAAGAAGTGGTTTATTTTAACAAAGTGCTTACAGACTGGCTTGCTCTTCCCCAATTTTTAATTTTCTTTACAAGGTACCCTATAGTGCAGCGATTCTCAACCTGTGGGTCGCGACCCCTTTGGGGGTCTAACAACCCTTTCACAGGGGTCGCCTAAGACCATCGGAAAACACATATATAATTACATATTGTTTTTGTGATTAATCACTATGCTTTAATTATGTTCAATTTGTAACAATGAAAATACATCCTGCATATCAGATATTTACATTACGATTCATAACAGTAGCAAAATTACAGTTATGAAGTAGCAACGAAAATAATTTTATGGTTGGGGGTCACCACAACATGAGGAACTGTATTAAAGGGTCGCGGCATTAGGAAGGTTGAGAACCACTGCTATAGTGATTTGTGCTAGACCCTGGAACTGAAAGCGAGAGCTGAGGAAACCATGAGAGCCATGATCCTGCAGGCTGGAGGACACACGGGGCTCAGCCCAGGGGTATCACTGCCTGGCTGACTTTATTTGCCTTCTCTCTCCATTTTTGAAGTTATATGCCCTCACCTTGAGTTCTAGCATAACTAAAAGTTGAGTTTTTAAGTCACAGAAAAATGTGAAATAGCCCAACTGTTTTTGCCAATTTTAACCAAGATAAGGCAATACAGTATGAAGAATCGATTCCCATCTTTGAAGTATGAAAATCCCTTTTTTAAAATCATAACATTTCATGTTCCTTTACACTGTATACGAAAACGAAAATGATATTTAATATTACTGAGTATTTGCTATATGTCAGGCAGCATTTTAAATATTTTGTGTATTATTTCTTTCAATTCTCACAATATCCTGTACCCTAAAATAATATGAGCAATAATACTATCCCCACTTTACAGATGAGAAAATAGAGGCACAGAGAGGTTAAGGCACTTGCTTGACATTGGCTGATTTTAGCAGTAGGAGCTATTAACCTCCAAGTTATACTTGATGGAAGCTATACATTTAATACATGTTTATTAAAAAATATGTAAAGGATAAATACTATTATTGATTCAATAACACTTTAAATGAATCTACATTTTATTCCATATATAACTAAAGTCAATAGTATACATAACTGCAAGGCATGTTTCCCATCACACAATGCCCACTTCCTGCCAGTGACTCGGGCTCCACATCAAATCTCCCTCCTCCAGCTCATTCTGAGCCAAGAGGTGGTGTAACGTGGAGTGCAGACTTGCACTTGAAACCAGAAATCATGGTTCTAAGTCTCATTATAGTATTCACTTGACATTTCTGAGTTTTGGTTTCCTCCTGTATAAACAGGGGATATTGATAAATGCACTACCATGGGGCTAGCATGAGAAACAAAATAATCTGAGGAGATATAAGTTCTTGTTAGGGTTTCCTATTCAGCTTTCTTGTAACCTCATAAAAACTTCATTTCTTTAACATGACCTTTTCTCCTTTCATTCCTTTTGCTTCAAACTGGCCTGATGCAGCACCCAGACTGACCTCTCTCCTTCTCCCTCGCACATCCACCTCTTTAATCATTAAGCCCTCAGGACAATGAGGTTCTGATCAGCATCAAATAATCTTAGGAACAAAACCTGTCTGTAGACCCCCGCGGCAAAGTTTAGATCAAACTAAAGATAACATCTAGGCCTCAGTTGTGTTTCCGCTCCAGGCCCAGAAAAGCTTAGAAAGGAGACAAGTAACACCATGGCTGACATTAGGAGCAGATGCGCTGATCAACTACTCCATCATAGCACCTAACAATCAGTAGAGACCACGACCCTGACCATGACCCTAACTCCCTTAATCACCATGAATAATTCTTTTTCCCCCTGGAAGCCATCAGGGAGCCAGGTCTTTAAGCATGAGCTCACCTGTGACTCCAGAAGTGAGCCACTTCCTAAAAAGTATTCCTGTTCTTGTCTTACTGGGCTTTGATGCATGCAGGCAAACAGATCCCTTTTGTCCACTGACATTATCAATAGATACATTTTAACATATTTCTTTTATTTTTCTAATTTTTCACTGCTCATTTTTATATCTCACCTTTGAGTAGTTTCAGAGTACCACAACATCTGCAGATGGCAGACACTGAAGGGGGGGGGGGGGGGGGGGGGGGGGGGGGGGGCACGACACAGGACTAAAAGATCCAAATTTAAACACTCTTCCTAATGCTAAAAATAAGAGCAAAAACATTAACTCCATCATTCAGCAAAAATGTAAATAAAATCTTAACCTAAGTCATTTGAGATGTGCTCTAGTAATTGTGAAAAACAGTTTATATTTCAAGGAAATTACCAGTGTTATGTCCAGATTATTAGGGAACATTTATTGGATACTGGCACTGACAGGTAACGATGTCCTAGCCTCAAATTCATTTGCATGACTTAAACTATAAAGAAGCAGGCTTGTGGAACCAACTGCACAAAAACATCAGTGGTGGAGGTAAATAACATGCATTTACTATCCCAAAACCAGTTAGATATTTTCTAGGAACAAATAAATATAAAATGGTAGAGCCAACTAGGTACCTGGGATTTAAATGGGACAAATAGATTCTTTTTAGTAATACCTGCCTATTTCTTTATAGGAATACTAACATAAAAATGTAACATAATTGCTAAAACCTTTTAAAATTGAAATGTGCTATGTGACTAAGTATTACACAAGTACTAAATGCTATATGAGTAATGAGAGTTTACAACTATTTACTTGATTCTATTTAATTGAATATTTATTCCTAAATAGAGGAATTATGTGAATTACCTGCTGGAAGAAATGGAAGTTTTCTCAGCTTTTCAAATGCAATTTTAAAAGGCCATATATATGTACAATTTTTTTAAAAATGTTTCCCATGATAATGAGTTTCTATTACCTCAAAGTTAACTCTCTTTCAAATGGTGAAGAAATCATGCAGATAAAAAAAACTTAGATCCTACCACTAACTCAAGACAATGTGTAAAACTGATAAAGCAAACAATTTCCTTTCATTCCAGTAATTCCACCAAAGCCTGTTATCTCTTTTTAAATGGCATATTCCTAAAGACTACATAAAAATAGAAAAAAAT